AAGAGAGAGAGAGAGAGGGGAGGGGAGGGAGGGAGATGTGAATCTATAAGATAGAAATGCAAGATGCAGTGTCAGTGTTTAATGTACTTAGATCTAATTCCAGGCAGCTTTGTGGACATGTTTATACAAGTCTATATGCAGTAAAGAAAAGGCGACTCACAATTGCAGCTTTTGCCACCACAAGATAATCTATGAGAAGCCAGTACACCTTGCATCAAAATAGAATTGTCAGAACTATCTTCCTTCCATCTGGATTTCAATGTACAACTGCAAGGATTACATACAAGGACCACTATATACTACCCGAAACCATATCGGGATCTTGGCATGTATATATATGCAAAACAATGCTGCACAGAAGAAATTTAGTACACAATACTAGAAAACAAGGATTACAGTATTTTTACAGAGAAAAATTATGATGAAGCAGCATCAGCAGTCGAATGGTAGCAAGAGAAGTCCTGAGGATTGGAAACAAAACCACAGATAACCTTTTTTCTTCTGTGAGGAACTCCAAGGAATTAAATAATGCCACAATTCAGCAGGCTACAACTGCCACTACAAGAAATCTATTAAACTCAGTCAAAAATGTATTGATACAAAAAGCAACTGACGAAGTTACGCATCAGAGGATATTTCATGTAAAAAGCTAAGGAGATAAGCAGTAAGGATCCTCAATCTCCAAATACCTACAAATCAAAGGTTCTACTATATTTAGGAGCATCTTAAGGGAAAATTTACATCGAACCAACAACTTCTCGACAGAATACCCCCAAACCTCTTGGCACAAACACATAACCCCTAACTTCTAACCTTCAGATCAGAGAACCCCTAAATGGCTTTTTCAATGTCTTCCAGACCAAAATAACCTCGTTGGGAGAAAAAAAAAGAACACACCCCAACTCCCTTGGCACAAACACATAACCCCTAATTTCAAACCTTTAGATTAAAAAACCCTAAATGGCTATTTCAACATATTTCAGACCAAAATCTCCTCTCTCTCTCTCTAATCTGCTTTTAAATTCAAACTCATTTACAAATCACACTTTCGCAACCAAGTTCCCATCTCTATCTCTCTCTAGACTGCTTTCAAACCCATCAATTTGTCCTCCATCTAAAATCATTTCTGCAATTCATAACTTCATAACCAAATCCCCTCCCTCTAGATTCCTTGTGAACCTATGAAGCCATTATCTCTGTGAACTGCTACTAGTTGAGAGTTTCAAACTTACACAATTGCACCCCAACCTGGCAAGTCATTCAATCATCCAAATTCAATCATGGCTTTAAAACCCATCCTGTGAGTTCGCCCTAGTTTCCTGATTCTATTCTCTGTCTCTTTTCCCCTCAGTTTCTCTTCAAATTTCCCACCTCCACAATGGGCTTTGAAGAATCTTCAATAGACGCTAATTTCGAGACCTTTGAAGCACTTTTATCAGTGGAAGAGAAGTTGCAAACTAAAGTAAAAGAAACAAGGGTAAAAAAGTGAGCAGTGCTCAAAAGATAGTCATAGAACTCAAAAGTGGAAATTCCCAAGAAATTAATCAAAAAAAATATTCCTGTGAAATTATCCAGGGGAATAAACGTGCTTTTTCTGCGTTGTGATCCACAGTGTGGAAGGAGCCAAGAATTGTTGCCCCAATTCTCTTCGGACGCAAGTCTACAACCACATTGAAAGAGATGGAGAATTCTGTGATTTCTGTGAAGCATGATTCAGAGAGATACACAAAAGCATAGTTACCGGGATCTCCTAATCTATGAGGCGATTCTGCTCCAGAATCTCGCTCTGGGGCTCCAGGAGAGGGATTTTAGGGGATCTCAACTTTTGAAATTTTGATCTTAATCACCACCATTAGGATTGATATCCCAAAAGGTTGGAAGCAAACCCAAACTTTTGAAGATTACATTGTTTAATTTCTACAGATATTAAACAAAGTAATCTAAAAATAGATATATTCATAAAATTACAGTGTTTTAGACTACCCAATGGAAATTGCAAAATTAAATAGTGTAATATTCATTTCTTGCTGGAAACCCAAAGGTTGGGATCAAGATCCCCAAAAAATTTGATTATATGTATTGTATGGATGACACTCCAAGAATCTTCTAACCACTCAAGATCTAGCTCTCCCAACCCTTAATCCATATATTCTGCTCTCAATCACAATAACTAAGCACAAAAGTGGCTTCGAGTTTGGGGATCAAAGGGGTTTCCCCAATGCTTTTCTTTGTGAGTGGGTAAAAAAGGGTTTCACATATATATATATATATATATATATATATATATATATATATAGAGAGAGAGAGAGAGAGAGAGAGAGAGAGAGAGTGAGAGAGAGGAAGGAAGGAGGAGTAGAGAGAGAGTAGTAGTAGTAGAGTAGTAGAGAGTAGAGTAAGTAGTAGTAGGAGAGAG